TGGAGAGAGAAATACAAAGAAGTAACACAGACTTTGAGCACCCCACCCCCAGCACCTTATATTTACAAAACATGTCTTTTAGTCCACAATTCTTTTCTCCGAGCACCATATTGAGGAGATTTCTCCACTTATGACTAATTAAATTTGTTATGAAGAAAAACTCTGGGTAAGTTACAAGAATGTATAATGTTTAATAGTGTGATTATAAAATCACAGTTAAACTGCATCTTTCTATAAGTAGTCAAATTTAATTTAATTAAGCATACTTTTACTATCCGTCTAACATTTAATCAATAGAAATTTGAGCCAGGTGAATAAAGAAGAATTAAAGAGCAGGCTATACTTGCTCACTTACTATATTATTAATAATAATATTAAATAAAATATTAATATTAAAATTAATAAAACATTAAAGTTATTTTAAAACAGATGATCAATAGCAGCAAATGTCCCACTTGGAAGAATGTAAATATGGTACTTTCTGTAATTCTCCCAAGCTGGATGCAGTGACGTATCTCCTCAGACTCCAAGCCAAAGGCCAGGGAGATGCTGAGAACTGGGATTCTGGGCAAAGGCAGAGCGGACAAGAGGAAGAAGGGAATTCCAGGAAAAAGAAACTTCCAGGTCTCAACTGGAGATAAATTCCATCTATATGTTCTACAAGGAGTCCCAATGAGAACCGTTAAGACGCTGAGATGCTCACTCCTCTGTCCATGATCTGGCCCTCAAATAAGAAAAAGTTCTTTCTGGTCCTGGACCAGCACACCCAGCCTGATGCTGAGGAGCATAAGAGTAATTAGTAAGGGAGCGTCCATTTCAGGGACTCTAATGGAGACAGTATTGAAACTACAAGCTATCAAGAGTTTGAATAGCAACTTGATAAAACATAACAGATGGAGCTAAAACTGATGGAATAACCTAAAAACTGGCATCTCTCCCAATATACTATTTAATTAATTAACATGGGATAAAAGCGGAATTTTCTTGCCTGACATATCAAAACAAGTCAATAAAGTAAAAACAAGATGCCATTCAGAATTCTAATGAAACCTCGTGGAACTCTCACATTCACTGAAGTTGTCATTAATTACTGAGTTGGACTAAGTCCTATTAAACTTCACACGCATTATTACATTATTCAAGATTAAAATATATTTACATCTTTCTATACAGGTACATAAATAAAAACGACATACAAAATAATACAGAGGAAAACATATACATAGTGTGTTTGAAAAGTTTACCTTTCCTATTGTGATTATGAGGGTTTCTTCCCTCTTTTCCACAGTACAGTGGAAAGTCATAGAATAATACTTCTAACAGTAATCTCCTGTTGCTGTTTTTTTTTTTTTTTTACAATGATACTATTGTTCCACCATTATATGATTGAACTGAATTTCTGGTCATGCTGGTGATTCCACTGAGTTACCTGCTCTCTCTTACCTTATTTTGGGACTGGAAGTGTAAGCTATGGTCATGAGACAGAGTTTTCCTCTGTCCGTGTAAAGCTAACAACCATCTCTGAGGGTTGAGCCTACAATTTTACACTCATTAATACCTCTGAATAAAAATCAATAAGCTAAGTAATAAAATATGCATACTATCTCCCCATATCTCTCCCTCTAAGCATGTGCATACACACATACATGCATAATCACACACACACACACTGACAACACCATCACCCCTGCTTTGTATAGATAAGGTGCAATCTCCTTTTCTGCAGATAGGCTGTTTCTTCAAACAAGGTCACTGAACATTGATTGGCAAGAAATATTGCCCCATCTAGAAAAGTGGCCACGTCTCAGTTGAATCATTGAGGAACTGGTCAGTGAACAAACAGGTCTTAAGTTGGAGGTGACAGAACTAAGAAATTTCTAAACTTTATCTTCTATGGATCTTCTTTATTCTGTGTATCTGTAATTTCCTGTATAGGTACAGTTAGTACATTTCTGAGGGTTTATAAATGTCTTCACCTAGCTCTGCAAGGGGACCTAACCTTCTTTGAAGGGTAACTTATAAGCTGAGACTTAAATGATGAAGAACTAGCTGAATAAGAAGATAGACAATATCAGAAACAATTTCCAAACTGAGAGTACATGCAGAATGTGAAATGACGCAAAGGCCAGTTTTGGTCCTGTTCTTCTATCCTTTCCTCTGTAGAGAGTCATTTCCAAAGGCAGACCCATCCAGATCCTGTTTATATGTACAAGGAGTGGCCATCTTGCTGTGAGCCATGTTGGGACATTAACCACAGCTAGGTGGGCAATCATAAAGACATTGATAGAGTTCAATTTGTTCTTGCTTTATTTATATGACAAATTTTTTGAAAACATACTACGTTCCAGGCCCTAGGTCAAGTGCTGGGGATACCCAAGGATTTCTCCTGCTCTGGGTTCCTGTAGATCCATTGCCAGATCTCCACTCTCTCCAATTGGGATCTTCTTCTCACCTGACTCCCTGAGAAGTGTAGCTTCTCCTTCTGGTTACATTGTTTCTGCCCAAGCATCCAATCTCCCCTAATCCCAAACCACTGTTTTCAGTCCATCCTAAAGTGCTTCTTCTCATCCGACCTGAGCACAAAGGAAGGAACAAGCTTTCTGCCTGTTATCCAGGATTGCCCAGGATTCTGTCCCATTACACCCTCACCTGTTCTCATCTGATATTCCCTTGCTATTATTACTGTGACTTTCTCACGCCCTTCCTTAGTGGTAAACTATTAACAAAGTCTGATGTTCAGGCTAACACCTCAAACAAGTAGCCACTTTCTTCCTATTTCCCATACAGAAGTCTCTTTGAATGAGTATTTCTCAATACTTACCTTCCAACCCATTCTTCTTGCAATCTTAGTGAACACAGTTATTGATTTCTCTCTTTGACTCAGGATATTTTCTTCTTGCTCACATTTTTTTTCCTCCTTTCATATACTGCTTTACCTGGCTTCAGCCTTTAGCTGGTTTTGTTTCCTTCTAGTCAATTTCCTACTCATACAACTGCACCTTTATAATCAGTGTAGTGAAAATACAGGTAATTGTGGTGTAGGTAAAAGAAATCACATAATCTTCAGATTTGATTATTTGGGGTTCATGGTTATGTCATCTTAAAACTAATCTTTTTGATTTATAATAATGAATAGTTATGCCTTATATTTTCCTTTATTCCTCCTATTCAAAAAAATTGAAGATGGCTTACAAAATACTTACGGCATAATAAGATATTAAGGAAATGGAGTAACCAACCAAAGGGAAACTAAGAGTAGACAAAATAAGTAGTCAGGGTAAAAATATTTCACAAAACATACACTGTAGAGTCTGTGCACTTACTGTAAGTAAGCTTCTGAATTCTTACACGACCAACACATGATGGAAGGAAGCACATTCAATTACACAATTCAAAATGCTCAGAAGATTATAAAACAAACGAGTTGCTCAAGAGAAGCACAGTCATTTGTGGTAATGAATTTCTGCAGGCTCTCATGAAGAGAACAGTGTGATGAGTGAGTGGTGTTCTCAGCTGCACCTCCACAGTAAAAACAGTCGTGGGGTCCCTAGACTTCAGATGTTCATATGATTCCAAACTGCAGCTCACCAATAGTAATCATAGGCAGGGCTAAAACAAGAATATGCAAAGTCAGATTTGTGATCATTATTCTTTAATCTCAGGATAAAAGTTAGATCACCTACATAAAGTGCAAAGTCTTAAGGAAATCTTCCATTAACATTACTTTTCCCAACTGATCATTTCTGCACACCAGACAGGCGGGTTGGCAATTCAGAGTATATTTATTTCCACTAATACTCCGCGGAATTGGGAATAGGGTTAATGTTGTTTTATAAAAGTTAAGGAAAAAGAAGGGAACTGAGGAAATATTTGTGGGCTAAGCCGAGATTTCCCTCAAAAAAATTTAATTTTGGATCCATTCTAATACAGCTAAAAGGGCAAATGCCAAGATTTTGCCATTGAACACAACTGGAATGATTAAACCTATAAAATCTATGAAGCAGCTGTTAGCAATACCTACTTATGCAGTCATTGTTTCCCTTTTTCTTTTTAGTTGTGGTAAAATACACATACAATTTATCATGGTGACTATTTTTTTAAAAATGTACAGTTCATTAGTATTAAATATTCATAATGTTGTACAACCATCACCACCATCCATCTCCATAACTCTTTCCATCTTATAAAACTGAAACTCTATACCCATTAGATAAAAACTCTTCATTCCCCTCTCCTCAGCCCCTGGCGACCACCATTTAATTTTCTGTCTCTAAGACTAAGACTGTCTCTAAGACCTAATGCAGTCATTTTAATCAGAAAAACAAAACACAAAAACCTCACTCATAAAATATCTAACCCAAAGCAATGAGACTTCCTTGTTATGTCCATAAGATAAAGTATTACAATATTAATGCTTCTAGACGACTAAATAATTTGATCTCTTGTATAAGCAAAATAACCAAAAGTTAGTTAAGTATTGGAGATTATTAATAGCAGCTTTGGTTTTGCTGCAGCTGCTCAGAGGCCATCAGTCTTTCTGTCAGTCACAGGCTGCTTGTCTTTTTAAGCTCCTCCTCTCTTATGATAAATAAATCTAAGTCAAAAACATATAAAAGTTCGTTTTTCTGTTTTGGTTTTTTTTTTTTTACAAAAGAAGTGATAGCTGTATCTAGTTCATGCAAAAGTAGTATCAAGTTATCAAACGTTAAGGCAGAAGGAAGGTGCAGAACCTACTTATGCTTTACATATTTGTACTTTTCAAGAAAGAGATCATTTTTATGGCTTTCAGTTCTCACAATGGTTTTCAGTTTCAGTTCTGTAAAAGCATAAATAGCCAAAAATTAAAACCGCATTCGTATCACTCAGTCCACAATGGATAACTGTTTGAAAAACTTCCAAGAAAAGTTACAAAAATGTAATGTGATATTGTTCCTAATGAATTTCTTCTCAAGGTGATAAAATATATAATACTGATCAGTACGGAAAAAGCTTGCCTGAAGTCCGTTTTTAATTTAATTTTATTATTATATTTTTAACAAGTTAGTTTTACATTGTGTTTGTTACACTTACAACAATAGCATTAAGAAAAACATGATAATTTACTAATAGCCTCAAAATCCCAACAAATCAACCTTTTTGTATACTGCTACGGCCTCCTCAACTCAGTCCTTGTCCATATGCATACATTAATTTAGTTTTACATATTTGTATTTATTTTACAGTGGTTGAGAGATAGGGTTATCCTATAAGATGGATGGAGAAAAATCACAGAGGACATCAGCTGTGAAAAAAGCTTTAGAGGCCGAGTCCCAAAAGCCTTGCAAGACCATTATCCCTTTTTCAAGGTTCTCCGACATGTATTTTTTCCTGTGGTAGCTCTTATGTGCAGATCCCACGCTCAGACATGCTGGTGTGCAGGTTGGGTGTTTTTTCTTGAGTTTTAGATGTTCAGCTTGTTGTTTCAAGGGGAGAGATATGGAGACATCTCTCACTCTGCCATGTTTCTGACGTCACTCCTGTTTTTTATTTGCCCAAAGTCTGGTCTAGAAATTCTGGAAGGATAATTAATCAGAAAGAAAATGCTTTTTAAGCAAAATAATTTCGAGTATATTAGATTTATGATTTTGAGAAAGTGGAAAGTTGCCCTTTTAAAAAATGAGATAGAGTAGACTCTAGTGCCCATCTGATGGCACCATTATTTCTATTCGCTATAGAAATAATTAAGGCAAGACTCGGTGTCCTCCAATCAGACTAACCCTTGAAGAGTTGTGCTCTAAGTGAAAGGATGGAATCCACTGGTCTTACTGCATAGCTTAGGATCTACTAAAATCATTCAGTATACTTTGCTTTTTATCACTTTGATATTCTTGAACTAATCATTTTTTTCCTAACTACTCAGGTATTGACATTAAATTATTAATTTAACAAATATTAATCAAGTACCCTTTAGACACTATAGGTACCAAAATGAATGAGCCAGGAATCTTGACCTTACCAAGCTTATAGTCTCTGCTTTCTATTGATGGTCCAAGATGTTCTGAAAAATATCCCTCTTTGTTGTTGTTATACCTGAGAATCTCTATTATATCAAACCAGGAGATGTCTTTTTTTCCCCCTGGGAATGAACACATCTCACGTGTATAACTAGCACAGATTTATATTAAGTTTACACAACAAAAAACAATATTTACACTATTAATTCAGTGGCTATTATGTGATGATGATAAACTATTCTCCTGGAAGGTATGTCACTTCACTTTGAACAGCTTAAATTTCAGTTTCCTTGTCTATCACCAGAGTACAACTTCCTATACCATGCTTTACTTCTGGCTCTTCTCCAGTCCAGCACTTTTGCATTCTATGTTTCACTCTGGCAATAATTTCCTATCTGACTTTTCTTTTCTCTCCAACCTATCACATAGAATGTCTGTGGGATAACATTCTAATTTCATCTTGTCATTTCCTTGTTCAGAAAATTCTAGGGATTGCCTATTTCCTGTAAACTTGTGATTAGCCAGAAACTGTCCCAATACTCTGTCTCTCTTATTTACCCAAGCCCAACCCCTATTACTCCAAATTAGAAGCTGGACTTCAAACATCTTCAACTTTCTTCACTCTTTAGGTATTTGTTCTGCAGTTCTTCCTGCTGGAAAGCCCCTACCTCCACCTTCCCTTCATCCTCCCATTTCAAGTTCAGTTTAAATTTAGCTCTTTTCTTCTGAACTCTTCCCCAACTGCTATTGCCCACGAGTTTCTGAAATTAATGATGATTATCAGTATAGTTCTTTAGGACTTAATCCCATATTGACTTGGATTGGATTTAACTGATTTCTCTCTGTAACTACTCTTTCCAACTAGATTGTACACACCACCCAGAGAGAAGGGACTCACCTTAAAAAGTTGCTTGTGTGTCTCTTCCTAGTTTTAAGCAGTTGTTATGCAGACATTTGGTGCTCAATACGTTTAAGAAATAGCAGTGGAATGAATCAGTTATCACTAACTCCAAATACATTTTTTTTTTCCTTTCTTTTACAGTGTCTGCCTTAAATCCTGTGTATTCCCAAAAAGATGCATTTCAAATCTTTCCAACCACAACCAACAGGAAGAAATTCTTTTCATATTGTGACAAAACAATACATATTGCTTACATTGTGCTATATACTGTTTTATCCTATTTTGAAAAATACTGATCACGACACACTAAATTGATTATCTCACCACTAAAAGATTATAATCTATAGTACAAAAATACTCTATGCTCTTTGAGTTAATGAGGTGTATAATATTGGTCTTGAAAATGTTTAGAACAAAACACTGCTTTGAGTGCTCATTTTGTTCCTGTCAATTTGAGTTACAATTATGATCTTTACACAGTTATCTTGAAAATAATTATCATATTCCGCCATAGCATTTAGAATCAATTCCTCCTTCCACTTCTATCTACTGAAATTTGGGATACAGTTAAGTAATAATTCACAGAGTCTCTTTCCATAAAGTATTTCTCACCCTGACCTGTTCCATTTAGCTAGGCAAAACAGAATATCTCGTCCGTTCTCCTGGAAACACTGGTTTTTCCACAGGGGGATCAGGCAAAGGAGAGTTGCAATCCCTTTCAAAATTAAAGGTAGTGATCAAGATTCCCCAACTCAGTCGTTTACTAAAGAAGGCCGCGTTATGCGTTGAGACAAAGGCTTGACAAGTCAACTGAACCCGAAGTGGAGACCTCTGGGGATTAACCTCCAGCCACTACTCTCGAGACGGTTGCGTTTCTGTGTTGCGGGACAGGGGCAAAGAAAACAGAGAAGCAGAAACCGACCTGCAACAGGAGGCAGAAATAGAGCGGTCGGTCAGAGGTTGCAGACTCCGCAGAAAGACAGACACACAGATGTGGCTTAATCCTACCCCTGAAAAGGGGAAAGGAGGCAGAGAGCAAGCACCGCGCTCGAGGAGAGCCCCACACCTTTCCACTGCCGAGGATGTTCCCGCCCACACGGATAAGCCCAGCTCAGGACCCGAGCAGGGCGCGCGGGGAGCCTGGGTCCACGCAGCCCCTGTCGTCACGTCCGGGGGGCGG